CTTCCTAACTTAACGTCCTTTAGTCTGAAGTGAGTGCGCTTGTATGCAAGAAAATATAAAACTTCTTATATCATCTCTCTATTAGACTTATCAATGCCATCTATGCCGGGACCTCTCCACTGCCTCCTACGGCCCAGCGAAAGAAGCACCCATTCAAGTTCAACACGATGACGGCTCCGTTCAAACAGGTGGGTCTGAAAACTGTTAGCATAGTAGCCTTTTGTTCTCCAGTTTACCAGCATTAGTGCGCATTCCGTAAACGGCTGTCTTTCTGCGCTAAAGTTCCAGAAATGTCCACCTGCTAGTTTTACGAAGCCGCAGTTGGACACGTGTTTGTAAAGCCGGCAACCAGGGGACAGAGATACAGGGTATTTCCAAACTTCATGGCTGGAAACATAAATATTTAGTCCTATAGTAACTGAATATTGCCCATCTAATAGAAACCCCTGCTAAAGCACACAAGAGAGCTGGCTATTTATATGTGGGCTTCCTTTCAATCATCTGTGAAAATTACACTCATTCACGTAGTGGTTCCTGATTCATCGGTCTGTCACAGACTATGAATAGCTCGTCGTACATCGGCAGACTGAATAAGCTTCAGATGCCGAGATGTAAAGCTGAAACTAAGTGTTAAGATGCGTTGGTAGGCATTTCTCGGAGGTGATATTTTCCGCGAATTTGGCGCACCCATTAAGATGTTTTGCGTTTTCACATACCTGTGTCTCACCGTCATCCTCCTCTTTTCTACAGATGGAGAACATTCAAATCTTCCTGACGGCCGCTGAGGCTTATGGTGTGCCGAGGGCCAGCCTCTTCCAGACTGTTGACCTCTACGAACTGCGAAACATGACTCAGGTCTTGAACTGCCTTCTTCAGCTTGGTAGCGAGGTAAGACCTGTAGGTTCGGCGTGCAAGGTCATTGACTGGTACTTTCAGTCAATGTACTTGCAGGTCGTATTATTTCACTACAATTCAGCATTACCTTGATTACTTTTAATACATTTAAAAATCGTAGGTAGAAGTCAAACTGTGAGTCCCGGTAAGCAGATAGGAGACGCCAGTTGCTAGATTACGAGCATCATGCTCATATAGTGTTGGGATGCATGCTTGAACTCAGGATCAGAGACAGTACTAGATACGGTTTATCCATATACACGGAGTTGCCGTATTCATGGGGTGCAGTGCAGACAATTCCGGGTTACCCATTCGTCGAGGATGGTTGCCTTTTGGTGTGATGAGAGTTCAACCGTCGAGTCTGAAGATGCCTATTGCGCGTTTCCCTACAGACTAAAAGCAAATATGGTGACCTGAGTTGCATCTACTACATTCTCTTCACTCTCGATAATGGCTTTATGATTGGCGCTCAAGTCTTTAGTCGCTACAATTTCTTCACTCGTTTTGGAAGTAAGCAGGCTAAGTGCTCAGTCATTTGGCTCCTCGACACTTGCATTTAAAATAGTGCTTTCTCGCGTATTCTGTAAGTGGTTAATTATTGTGTTCGTGCGAATTCTCAGCACCTCGTATGGCGTGGAGCGGTTATAGTACCAGTTAGTAGAATGTGAATCAG